AGACCAGAGACAAGGACACGGGAAGCCATGTCCCTGAGACGTGGCAAGGAGGGGTGGCCAAGACGGTGGTGCCACAGGAGAGTCTCGTGAGACAGGAGGCGACACGAGCAGGGGGCAGACTCAGGACCAGACCTGGACGCAGCAGCAAACACCTGACCCGACGTAGCTACCTGGCCAGACACAGGAACAGGAGGAGACCCAGTGGTCAGGGTGTAGAGGCTCGACCCCGGCCGACGGGAGAACGTGGCCAGGTGCCGACCTGTGCGCGCGTCCGTGCAGTGGGTCACCCGCTGACTCGCAGGAGTAAACTGGTGAACCCCCGCATCCTGTAGGGCAGCACCGCTCACCAAGTTCGTCGAGAACGAGGGGAGGTACAGGCCTGATAGGGCGCCCGAGGGGGCAGCTGGACACGGTAGAACAGTGGAGAAGTGAGAGAGGACAGGACCCCCAGAGGGGTCAGCCCGGGAGACCGCAACTGGCCGGCCAAGCGGCGTGAGTGTGGTGCGGTCCCGAAAGAAGGAGCGAGAAGCCCCAGAGTCAAGTGTAAAGGTGAGGGAGGCCGAAGCCGACGCGGTACCTGAGAGCGCAGCCTCACCAGTACCTGAGAGCGCAGCCTCACTAGTACCTGAGAGCGCAGCCTCACCAGCACCTGAGAGCGCAGCAGTGTCACAGGCACTTAGCGCAGCCGTACCAATGCCCGGGTCGGGCGGGAAACACCGGTAACAGTCACCCTCATCACTAATAGACACAGCATACATGGCAGCAAGGATAGCATCAAAGTCTAGCTCAAAGATCGCTACACCGGCTCTAGAAAGGTCTCCCCAGCGGGGGATCTCAGAGGCGTCAGGGAACTGCTGACGCCAAGCGTCCGTCAGGCGGCCAAAGCAGCGCCGGGTGGCGTGGGCACCCCCACACTGCTCACCCGCGCGGTCGCCACTGCGAAGAACGTAGGTGCACGGGCCAAAATCTCCACCACGCTGACTCTGCGCGTACCACTCACGGAGCTGCTGAGGTGGGGGGATGTCCCGAGAACGCTGCTGCTGCTGCTGCCGCAGACCACCACCAGAGCCGCTCCGCTGCGGGGCACTACCCCGACCAGCTCCACCTCCCCCGCCCCCACCTCCTCCACCTCCGCCACTATCACCGCCTCCGCTCCAACCGCCTCCGCCGCCACCGCCTCCGCCGCCGCTGCCGCCACCACCGCCACCACTCCCGCCACCACTCCCACCGCCACCCCCACTCCCTCCGCCGCCTCCACCACCACCTCCACCGCTCCCGCCAGCTCCACCCGCGCCCTTGCCCCCCTTGCCCTTGCCAGGGCGGCGTCTCCCGCTAGGGGCAGACGCCGCGCCGACCGACTCAAGACCAAGCAGGTCGGCAGCAGCAGCAGAGGCAACAGAGGGCAGCAGGGGGGAAGGAGAACACCCCTCAAAGATGGGGGTGCGCGGGTCACGACGAGAGGCTCCTACAGCAACTATGCTCTTCCCCGCCGCTGCTCCTGGGCGGCTCGGCTGCTGCTGGGCGGCTCGGCCGGTGCTGGGCCGCGTAGGTAGGGCGGCGGGAGGGCCGCAGATAGGGCGGCGGGTGGGCCGCAGGTAGGTCGGCGGGTGGGCCGCAGGTAGGGCGGCGGGTGGGCCGCAGATAGGGCGGCGGGCAGGCCGCAGGTAGGTCGGCGGACGGCCGCAGGTAGGGCGGCGGGTGGGCCGCAGGAAGGGCGGCGGGACGGCCGCAGGTAGGGCGGCGGGTGGGCCGCAGGTAGGGCGGCAGTAGGGCCGCAGGTAGGGCGGCTGGTGGGCCGCTGGTAGGGTGGCGGGTGGGCCACAGGTCGGGCGGCAGCAGGGCCGCAGGTAGGGCGGCGGTGAGCTGCAGGTAAGGCGGCGGTAGGGCCGCAGGTAGGGCGGCGGTGAGCCGCAGGTAAGGGGGCGGTAGGGCCGCAGGTAGGGCGGCGGTCGGGCCGTAAGGAGGAGGCGGCGGGGCCGCGAAGAGGTAGCGGCGGGGCCGCGAAGAGGTAGCGGCGGGGCCGCGTCGAGGAAGCGGCAGGGCCGCGACGAGGAGGCGGCGGGGCCGCGAGGAGGAGGCGGCGGGGCCGCGTGGAGGAAGCGGCGGGGCCGCGGCGAGAAGGCGGCGGGGCCGCGACGAGGAAGTGGCGGGGCCGCGTCGAGACGGCGGCGGGGCCGCGACGAGAAGGCGGCGGGGCCGCGACGAGGAAGCGGCGGGGCCGCGTCTAGGAGGCGGCGGGGCCGCGACTAGGAAGCGGCGGGGCCGCGAGGAGGAGGCGGCGGGGCCGCGACTAGAGGGCGGCGGGGCCGCAACTGAGGGGCGGCGGGGCCGAGAGAAGGGCGGCGGGGCCGCGAGGGGAAGGTCGACACGGAGGGTCGCGAGAGAAAAAAAAAAAAAAAAAAAAAAAAAAAAAAAAAACGCGCGCCTCGGGGCGCGCTTCAGTGGGCCCTAGAGAACAGTCCCTAGGATGGGACCTGCTCTGATTCCATGTGAGAATAGGAATGTGAATGAATGAACTATGAAATGTGTGAGTACAAGTACCAACCGTAATTGGGTTGTACCCCCTATGGGATACCCCACTATAGCCTACACAAGAGCATAAGCTATAATGTTCTGACAGCTAGAAGTACATGCAGTTATATATAATTCTGACACGGCACAGACGTGACAGTACGGACAGACCATAGATCACTATAGTATCTCCGCGCATAGTCACACCTCAACCCACGACAGATTCACTGGCTCGATTTTCTCGAGTCCAATTTTCACTACACGGTCACCTACAAAAAGGGAGCCTCGAACATCGCCGACGCACTGACCCGCCCCACTGCCCAGATCCATGCAATACTACTCGCCCAGACCAACCCCCTACTGACGGGCCTATTTACCCACGGGTATCAAACGGATCCATTCTTCACAAGAGGAAATTCGCGGCAATTCGCAGCAGCAAGGGGAGTCTATTATGTAAAAGCCGGGACCGACCGCATCTGGGTGCCTGGGTATACACTACTACGGGAATTACTGTTACAGGAGGCACACGACGGGGTTACCTTGGGGCATTTCGGGGTAGAGAAAACACGGCAGCAGCTGCAGCGGTATTATTACTGGCCCGAGATGTTGACCGACGTACAACGATACGTGGCATCATGTCCCACTTGCCAGCTCATGAAATCATCATGGCAGCGGCCGACAGGACAGTTGCAGCCGATACCACCCCCAGAGCGTGCTTGGCAGCAGGTGACGATGGACTTCGTCACGGGGTTACCGGCTGGGGCGAGTGGGAATGACGCGATCCTGGTCGTCGTCAATCGACTGATGAAAATGGCACACTTTGCAACATGCAAAAAATAGATCACAGCCGAAGAAATAGCACCACTCTTCATCTCCACCGTTGTTCGACTGCACGGGATACCATCAGCGATCATCAGCGACCGCGACATGAAATTCACCAGCAACTTCTAGCGGAACCTATGGCAGCAGTTTGGCACGCGACTACAGTTCAGTTCTTCGTACCACCCCGAAACCGACGGACAGACAGAACGGACAAACCAGACTAGGGAGCAACTCATCCGAGCCACGTGCGACGACCGAACCACCTGGGAACAACAAGTGCCACTCATTGAGTTCGCATACAACAACTCACCATTCGCCACGACCCAAAAGTCACCGTTTTACCTTAACTACGGACAAGACCCGACAGTACCCATGACCCCGAGTCCCGACAACCCGGTGCCACAAGCACAATAGTTCGCCGAAATTTTACAAGCAGCACGAACCCGAGCAGCAGACGCAATAAATAAATCAAACATCATCGCTAAACGTAACGCCGACCGCCACTGCCGACCTGTCACTTACCAACCTGACGACCTAGTTTTACTCGACACTCAGAACCTCCGCCTGCCCATCACCCCAAAACTCCGCCCCCGATATTGCGGGCCATTTCGCATAAGCCACATGATTACGCCCGTCACAGCCCACCTCCTCCTCCCCGCTGTCTGGTACGTCAGCCCCTCATTCCACGTCAGCGTGCTTCGCCCTTACGTCCCGTCTACAAGCCAACTGCCACGTAACCGCCCAGCCAGCATGACACGACCGCCGACTGAACCAATCATCACACCCGAGAAAATTATGAGCCACAGAGTTCGCGACCCTCGAGGAGCCCGAAGGATCGAGTTCATAATCCGCCGGAAAGACCGTACACCCACCAAAGACAACTGGGTTCCCCTAGACAGAGTCGAAAATCACCCCGTCCTCACAGTATTTGCGCAGCCGAAACTTCAGGGATGTACACACACTTTCGTAAGGAGGACCTCCTTAAGGGGGGGGGGGGGGGGGGGGGGGGGGGGGGGGGGGAAGGTGTAAGGAAAATTCATTTTCCTTACTTCGCGTCCCCTCTCAGCGCGTACACCACTGTAGCACCACAGTCAACACGGTTACCACTCGCAAACCCTCGCATCGACAATTCTCCCACCACCTTCGCACATTGCACCCCGACCTTACGGCTCGGCGGGTAACCCGCGCTCCGGGCCTCCGCTTCGACATTTTCCCAAACCTCAGTCCCAGGCCCGTCGCGCCACAACCACAGTCCATTACCGTTACCACTGTAATTTTGCTATATATTCTTCGCTCATGCCTTCGCTCATTGTACTCTTGCTTCGATAGTGCAATCCTCGCTCAATCACTCAATTGCACTCGTAACAGTAAGCATGATTTCGTTACATTGAGATATAAGAGAGTACCGGTAATTGAGAACTTCTCTGTTGGGATTAAACACAAGTTGAACCCAGTAACATGGGAACACAGGGAACATATGATAATTTAGACCAACTCGGAGGCAACACACAAATCAGAATCATGCGTACATGTCTTGCCATCAGGCCTAGAAAATCAAACTTTCGCGAAGTATTTACACCAAAAAGTACTAGCATCCAATAAAAAAGACAAATGTGCACAATATTTTGCGAAGCACCATAAGAGTTCCTTCCAGACCCACATCCATATCAAACCTTGGGAGGCTTCACATGGCGCACAACTGAACCCGCCCCCTCTTTAGTCACAAGCACAGCAAACATATCCACCTTCTCCACATCTTCCGTGCTCACAAACGCATAGTCAAACCACCCACGCCTGTCCGTGTACCCATCCTTGTAAAACTCCGCCCCACCCCTCTCCTCCCCTGCACTGTCGCTGAAAAGGTAGGAAACCCCTCGCGACTTTGGGCGGAAGAAAACTTTCACATACGCTCCGGGCAGTGGCACCAAAGTTCCCTGAGTTGACTCCAGCCTGCCTTCCACTGCTCCTGCTTGTCCACTGCCCGAAGACCCATCGGCAGGTGCTGGCGCAGGTGTGGGAATGCGGCGAAGCACTCTCAGCTGACCCAGCCTCTCCACCACCTCTACCACAAGAGACTCATGCACCGGCCTGTGGTGAAGGGGTTGGGAGAGAGAGGACGTGAGGGGAATCCATGGGTCGAAATCAAGGGAATGTGAGGCAAGAGCATGTGGCAGATGAGAAGAACACAATGTACAGGACGAGCAGAGAGGGCACAGACGGAAAAATGGGGAATGACTTGAGTGAGAATACGGACCTGAGGAGAGTGGTGGTGAGAGCACCCGACGAGACAGTGATGAGCACTGCCTCTGAATCAAACTCCGCTGGCAACGCCACCACCACACTGCCACTGCTGCCTCTGCTGCCACTGCTGCCTATGCTGCCACTGCTACCTCTGCTGGAGCCTGTACCAGCAGCTGCACCACCAATGCCACTTCTGCCACTGCCAGTGCTGACAACTGTGGACCAATTCGGAGCCACGAAGATGGACGAGGGCCCGCCCACCCCATTGCCACCCTCTCCTCCTGCCTTCCCATCCCTGCCACGCCTGCCGTCCTTCACACTGCTTTCCCCACCAGCTGCTGCTGCGCCTGAGAGCAGGGAGAAGGGCGAGGAGGAGAAGAAGGTCTCCTCGTCGAACGCAAACACGTCCACTCGGATGCTCCCCACGTTCGCATACCGCACCCCCACCACCGCCGCTGCCACCGCCGCTGCCGTGACTGTACCCGGCGTGACTGTACCGAGTTCAGGGCTGGCTGTGCCAGAAGCAGCAGCAGGGGGCAGCAGCTTGGCGTCCAGGAAGGGCTCCTGGGAGGGTTTGGGTCCGGAGCTCTTCTTCAAGGAGAACGGGTCCACTGCTGTGCTGTCCCCCTCCGCTGCCTCCACCAGCTGTGCCACGTCAGCAATGTCCTCGTCCGCAGCAGCTGTTGTTTCAACTGCTGCTGCTGCTCCTCCTGCTCCTCCTGCTGCTGCTTCTCCTCCTGCTGCTGCTTCTCCTCCTCCTCCTCCTCCTGCTGCTGCTGCTGCTGCTGCTGCTGCTGCTGCTGCTGCTGCTGCTGCTGCTGCTGCTGCCCCTTCTCCCACTGCTTCAATTCCTCCTCCTCCTGCTGCCCCTGCTGGGGCCTGACCGCCTGTGAGCACCCAGTCATCGTCCTCCTCCCACTCCCATGCATCGCCACCCCCACCAACCCCCTCTCCTCCACCTCCTCCTTCCATTCTCTTATCACTCTGCGCCTGCCCTTCCATCCCAGCCACTCCATGCCCCTCCACACCACTCTGTGCAATGATACGCCCCCCTGCCCGGGCAGCCCGGGCAGCTCGCGCAGCCATCCAAATTTCATACACCTGCTTGCCCAGGTCAGCAAAGCGCTTTCTCCAGGAAACCACCGGGCAGCTTCCTCCACTGCTGCCGCCATTCCTGTCCACAGCTCGGTACTTTTTCGCAACTGCCCGGGCGACCACAGGCAGGCGGTCGGTCGGGCAGAGGAGAATGTCGAGAAAGGCCGCCATGTAATCTGCTGCCAGCTGCACATTCACTGTAGCAGGGAGGTCAGTGAAGGGGACAGCGCTGCTACTGGTGCTGCTGGTATTGGTACCAACACCAGAAGCAGCAGACCTCTCGCCGCCCTCAGCACCCTCAGCAGGAGCTTCAGCAGGAGTCTCTGCACCAGCCCCAACAGGAGCAGCACTCCCATTCCCACCGCACAGCGCTGCCCGCCACATGTCGGGCAGGGCGAAAATCTTTCCGGAGGCTGCCCGGAGAAACATGAGGTGGGCCTCTTTGACTCGGTCTTGAACCAGCAGGTAGTATGCGGCTGCCAGGCACTCCTGTGCGCTCATACCGCCCTTCCTCCTTGCACACACCTCCAAGAACCGACTGTAATGCTCCAATAGCTGCTCGTTCCATATGTCGTTCACCCCCGGATCCTCCACCCACCCTCCCTCCTCACTCCCTGCTCTCCCCTCTCCCTTGCTTTCGCCCTGGACCCTCTTCCCTCTCCTCTCCCCATCTGAACCACTCATTCCGAACCTGTGCGCCCGGGGGTTCAGCAGCGGCAGGAACTCCTCATGCTCGTACACCGGACCTAGCCCCAAACCTACCCCTGAGCCTAGCACACCGGCGCTCCCATTGAGCCGATACCGGAGCGAAAGCCTCGCCCCTGCCGCACCCGGCTCGATATGCAGCAGAGAGGAGTGGAGAACCGGGGAGGAGAGCCGAGCAAGGAAGGCCGGTTCATAAGCCAAATACTCCGACATCCCCCGAGGGTCCTGGTGCAAGAGCGAGTATTGCCAGATGGCGGGAGAGAAGAGCTTTCGACGGCGGAGGAGGGAGGTGACGGAGTGGTAGAGGGGCGCGTGGGGCATGAGGGGGAGGAGGAGCGCGAGGTCGAGGGAGCGCAGGGAGGGGCCTTGCAGCATGCGGAGGATGTCCGGCTCGCTGCCCGACTGGCAGATCACCTCCCACAGCTCCGCCCTCTGCGCTGCCTCCTCTGCTGCTGACTGTGCCTTGCCTCCCGCTTGCTGCTTCTGCCTGTCTGCAGCTACTGCTGCTGATGATTCTGATTGTGCTGATTCTGCCTGCAGGTGCTGCTGAAGGAGGGCTTCTCGCCTCTCCCTCTCCATCTTCTCGTATTCAGACGATGAGAGGACGGGGATCGATGGCGGTACCCCTGCTGCCACTGCCACCACCCCCACGTCTGCCCCGCCCTCCTCCTCCCTTGCCCCTCCCTCTCCCCCGCCCCCTCCGCCTGACCCAGCTTCAGGCAGCAGGTGCGCAGGGAAGAGCGAGAAGCTTCCAGGAAAGGGGAAGTAGAAGAGAGCAGTGAAGACTCGCTTCTGGAAGGGCTGCAGCGGCGGCAGGCGGAGGCGCTGGGTGGGGCGGCCGAGAGGGGAAATAGGCACGGAACCCTGGGGAACTTGGAATAATAGCAGCAGCGGGGGGAGCGGGGCGGACTGGAGATTGACAATTACGATTTGAAGGAGGTAGCAGATGCCAGTGCGGTATGGAGGAGTGGAGGGGAGTGAGGAGGGGTGGATGGATGGGGTGGTGGAGAGGGAGGAGTGGAAGAGGGGGAAGGGGGTGGTGGAGGAGAGGAGGGAGGAGGAGTGGGGGGTGAAAGGGGAGGAGGAGGAGGGCGGGGCGAGGAGAGTGTGAATGGACTGAGAGAGAAGGATGGAGGGGATTCCAGGAGCAAGGGAGGGGAGGAGCGGGAAAGGAGGAGCTTTTGCTGCTGCTGTTTCTTCTGTTGCCGCTGCACCACTCCCCACCTCACACAACTCCTGCTTGTACACCACCATGGGTGATGCTGGTGTGATTGTAACCGACGTGCCTCTAAACGAAAACCCATGTTCCCCCCCTTCCACTGCGCCAGCAGACCCACCTCCCCCGCCCACCCTCCCACCAGTCTCTTCGTTATAAGCACCGGTTTGCCTGATCTTGCCGCCGAAGCGGAGGCCAAGAATGGAAAGAGCAGAGAGAGCAGCAGTGGAGGAGGAAGCAACATCGTGCAGCGATGCAGGGACGAAGGGAGGGAGGGAGAGAGCAAAGGAGCAGAGCGAGGCAAGCGCAGAGCTGCTTGCTGCTGAGACAGTCTCGGTGGCAGGTTCGGCAGCAGGTTTGGCAGCAGCTTCGGCAGAAGAGAGGATGTGGCGCATGAAGTCGACCCAGAAGGGAGAGGAGGGGATGAGGTCCGGTGTCTGCTCGCTGAGTGCACGCTTGTAATAGTGCGTCTCCGCGTAGCGCTTGGTGACGTCCACCTTGTGGGGGCGCTGGTAGGAGGGGAGAGAAGTGAGGGGCAGCAGGAAAGCAAAAGAGGAGGGATGTACAATAGGTTAGATTGTGCGTCTCCGCGTAGCGCTTGGTGACACCCACTTTGTGAGGGCGCTGGGGTGGGTGGGAGGGGAGAGAAGGGAACGAAAGGAAGAAGAAGCAGAAGAAGAAGAAGAAGAAACACTCTAGTTGGGTTCTGAGAGTTTTTAAAACAAAAGGAGCGAGGAAAGTAGCTTCAGCAAGAAAACAGAAAAGGGAAATGGCAAAGGGAGAGATTGCATGCTTGTTGCAGGACCAAAGCAAGGGCCAGAGTGAAAGCGGTTGTACCCATCCTCCCACCTGTTGCATTGGCACAAGAGGCAGAGAGGCATTTTCACTCACAGCTGTTGCAGCACCATTGCACCAAAGCAAGGGCCAGAGTGAAAGCGGTAGTACCCATACTCTTGCCTGTTGCAGAGGCAGAGCAGCTTCTCCAACCACGCCGCTGAACTCTCTCTCAGGTGCGAAGAGTACATTGATCCCTCTCTGTGCAGTCACTCCCTTTGCCATTTCCCGTGCAGAGAACGGGACAGATTGAAAGCAGTAGCACCTGTGCTCTCACCTGCTGCGCTGATGGAACGGGCACAGCCTCCTCTAATTCCCCAGCTGCTGCTGCTCCAAAGGAGGGGCCGGAGTCAAAGCGCTGATACTCGCCCGGTGTGCCCATGGTGGCGAAGCAGGACGCACAGAGATCGTAGTCGTCCCGGCTGATGGTGGAGGGTGTGGGGGAGGGTTACGGGGAATGGTGGGAAAATGGTAAGTGAGAGAGGGATGGGACTGACAGGATTGGTACTTGCCTGGGGTGCCCATGGTGGCGAAGCAGGACGCACAGAGATCGTAGTCGTCACGGCTGATGGTGGGGGGTGTGGGGGAGGGTTACGGGGAATGGTGGGAAAATGGTAAGTGAGAGAGGGATGGGACTGACAGGATTGGTACTCGCCCGATGTGCCCATGGTGGCGAAGCAGGACGCACAGAGATCGTAATCGTCATGACTGGGGGGTAGACGGAGGGGTGGGTTGCCGGGGGAAGGGGTATGAGCAACGGAACCGGTACGGATAAGGCCAACTGTGTTTGAAGTTTTCCTTCAGACTTTATAAATAATGCATAGAATGAGAGCGGAAAACAGACATGGAGACATAAAAGACAAGCAGCTGATAAGGGTCTACACCTGGTGGAAATTGTAACTGCGATCATGAGTACAGTGGGCCCTGGAGAGAGGAGAATTGGGGTGCAATGTGCTCTGATGTGAGCGGACAGCGAGGTAGAGAGGCAAAAGAGAGCGATGCAAACAAACCAGTGGTGGCACGGTCCCATGTGTTCTGATCCAAGCAGAGCGGCAGGCAGCAAAGAGGGAGCAAAGAGCGAGCAGAGGCAGCAGAGAGGCAGCAGAGAGGCAGCAGTGAGGCAGCAGAGAGGGAGCAGAGAGGGAGCAGAGAGGGAGCAGAGAGCGAGCAGAGAGGCAGCAGAGAGGCAGCAGAGAGGCAGCAGAGAGGGAGCAGAGAGGCAGCAGAGAGGGAGCAGAGAGGCAGCAGAGAGGCAGCAGAGAGGCAGCAGAGAGGGAGCAGAGAGGGAGCAGAGAGGGAGCAGAGAGGGAGCAGAGAGGCAGCAGAGAGGGAGCAGAGAGGCAGCAGAGAGGGAGCAGAGAGGCAGCAGAGAGGGAGCAGAGAGGCAGCAGAGAGGGAGCAGAGAGGGAGCAGAGAGGCAGCAGAGAGGCAGCAGAGAGGCAGCAGAGAGGGAGCAGAGAGGCAGCAGAGAGGGAAGGGACATACACAAGAGAGCGGTAGCGGGGTCCCCTGATTGGGTTGGTACCACATCCATCGCAGCTGAAATGCAATCCCCCTGCTGCTCCCCCCCCCCCTCCTGGTGCTGCAGACAGGTAACGCATCTGAGGCTGCAGGGAGGTTGGAAGAGAGGAAGAAGAGAGAAAAGTTTCTGAGACCTCTGCAACCAAGTATCAACAGACAAATACCTTGTACCACCTACGGCCTACCCCTTCCCATACCTTGCTCCGTTTCTTCTCCAACTTCTCTTCCTCCAACACCAGAAAGCCTCCATCGTCCTCGTATGTACCACCCTCGTATGTATCACCCTCGTATATACCACCATCTGCATACTCATCACCCAGTCCCATTTCCTCCTCATCCACGTCGCTATCCTCAGTTTCCTCCTCCTCCTCCTCCTCCTCCTCTTCGTCGTCCTCATCCTCCTCTGCAAGTGACTGCACACAGCACAAGCATCACCGTGAAGCAGCCAGCAGACTTTTGAGACGTCTCACAAGTGACTGCACACAGCACAAGTGACTGCACACAGCACAAGTGACTGCACACAGCACAAGTGACTGCACACAGCACAAGCATCACCGCGAAGCAGCCAGCAGTCCCGCAGCAGGAGGAGTAGCAGCATCAGCAGGAGCAGCAGGAGCAGCAGCATCAGCAGCAGAAGGAGGAGTAGCAGTGGGGAGACGGTGTTAGGATAGTTTCCCACCCTGCCCACTGCAGTACAGTACAGTACAGTACACCACCAAATCACGTTCTATCTCATCCAAACCACACACCCACCTCGCCACCCTGTGGCATGTGGGACCTGCATGAGGCGCCTAGAGCAATGAGGATGATGTAATGACCCACCCATTGTAATGACTCACCCATTGTAATGACTCACCCATTGTAATGACCCACCCATTGTAATGACTCACCCAATGTCCCGCAATGTGAACAATGTGACTCACATCCACTTCGAGCATGTCTCACACGCAGCCCCCAAGCTATGTCTCACACGCAGCCCCCAAGCTACTTCTTACCTCCCCAGCATCGTTGGTGCCTCACCTCCCCAGGCGCACCATATGTTGCGGCAGGAAAGTTGCGGGCAGCATCGGGGAGGCGAGACGAGGGGATGAGCAATCCACATGTCACATGGATGCGGCAAAGTCAACACAGGCAGAACTGACCGGTACCAACCAACGTTGCCGGTGTTCTCACCTGCTCAATTAATACAGCATCAGAGCTAAATCGAGTCGTAGCCGGGGGAGGAGGAGGGGGCGTCCCTCCAAAGCCCCCGAAAGAGGCAGCGCCCGGGGCAGGGGGAAGGGGAGCAGCGGAAGGGGGAGGGGGAGGAGCGCCTTTGGGTTGGGATGCAGGTTCAGCAGCAGATTTGGCGGGAGGTTCGGCGGGGGGTGCGGCACGGGGGCGGAGGTCGCTGCGGCTGGCGAGAGCTGTGGTGAAGCGACGGTAAGAGGCTGCTGCTGCCTGCGCTGCTAGCGCTGGTGTTGTTGGTGCTGCCAGCGTGATAAGATCGTCCAGGACTGCAAGGGGGAAGAAGGGGGAAGAAGGGGGAAGAAGGGGGGAGAAGGCGGGGAGAAGGGGGGGAGAAAGGGGGGAGAAAGAGGGGAGAAAGGGGAAAAGGCTGATGGTGAGTGGCTGGCGAGGGCTGTGGTGACACTCTGCCACTCCCCTTTCACGCTAACACACTGCCACTCCCCTTTCACGCTAACACGCTGCCACTCCCCTTTCACGCTAACACGCTGCTGGTGCTAGCGTGAAAAGGCTAACACGTTGCTGGTGCTAGCGTGAAAAGGCTAACACGTTGCTGGTGCTAGCGTGAAAAGGCTAACACGCTGCTCCTGCCTGCGCTGCTAGCGCTGGCGTGGGTGGTGCTGCCAGCGTGATTAGATCGTCCAGGACTGAAATGGGGGAGAAGGGGACAGTGGGGTGAACGGGGGGATAAGGGAGGGGAGACAAGGGAGAGGAGGGGCGACAAGGGAGAGGAGGGGCGACAAGGGAGAGGAGGGGAGACAAGGGAGAGGAGGGGCGACAAGAGAGAGGAGGGGAGACAAGGGAGAGGAGGGGCGACAAGGGAGAGGAGGGGCGACAAGGGAGAGGAGGGGCGACAAGGGAGAGGAGGGGCGACAAGGGAGAGGAGGGGCGACAAGGGAGAGGAGGGGCGACAAGGGAGAGGAGGGGCGACAAGGGAGAGGAGGGGCGACAAGGGAGAGGATGGGCGACAAGGGAGAGGAGGGGCGACAAGGGAGAGGATGGGCGACAATGGAGAGGAGGGGCGACAAGGGAGAGGATGGGCGACAAGGGAGAGGAGGGGCGACAAGGGAGAGGAGGGGCGACAAGGGAGAGGAGGGGCGACAAGGGAGAGGAGGGGCGACAAGGGAGAGGAGGGGCGACAAGGGAGAGGAGGGGCGACAAGGGAGAGGAGGGGCGACAAGGGAGAGGAGGGGCGACAAGGGAGAGGAGGGGCGACAAGGGAGAGGAGGGGCGACAAGGGAGAGGAGGGGCGACAATGGAGAGGAGGGGTGACAAGGGAGAGGAGGGGCGACAAGGGAGAGGAGGGGCGACAAGGGAGAGGAGGGGCGACAAGGGAGAGGAGGGGCGACAAGGGAGAGGAGGGGCGACAAGGGAGAGGAGGGGCGACAAGTGGGGACAAGAGGAGGGCAGTGGTGGAGCGAGCGTAGGAGGCTGCTGCTGCATGCGCTGCTCGTGATGGTGTGGGTGGTGCTAACAGGATAGTTAAATCGTCCAGGATCAAAGGAGAGAGAAGGGAGCAGGGAAGGCGTAAGAAGTGGTGAAGTCCAAGCAGCGTACAGAGCAGAGCAGCCACAACAGGCTTCCCTTCAGAGAGATGGATGAGGTGCGGTCTGCCATGGGCAGTCCATTCCAGAGGTCGCAACCCCCGGTGCTGAAAACAGAAAACAGAAAACAGAAAACAGAGCAGCAGCCACATGCCATACGACACAGCCTTACCTTTAGAGAGATGGATGAGGTGGGTCTGCCATGGCCAGTCCAGGGGTCGCATCGCAACCCCCGGTGCTGCAACAGCACGTGGAAGCACACTGACAGTCCCACCCTCTGCCCAAGCAGAAAACAGAGCAGCAGCCACATGCCATACGATACGACACAGCCTTACCTTCAGAGGGATGGATGAGGTGGGTCTGGTACGGCCAGTCTAGAGGTCGCTGCCCCCTGTGCTGCAGCAGCATGTGGAAACACACGGCCAGCCCCAGCAGGCACCTCTCGAGTGCGTTGAGATTGAGATAGGCCGGCAGGGCGCAGAACGACAACACCTGGTGGGCGTGGGGGGGAAGGGAAAAGGGGGGGTGGGGGTTTTGAGATTGAAAGAAGGAGCAGCATATGGAAGCACACTGCCAGCCCCAACAGGCACCTCTGGAGTGCATTGAGTGTGGGATAGGCTGGCAGGGCGAGGAGAGAAAGCACCTGGTGGGGCATTTGGGGCCAGAAGAGGGGGGAAGGAGGGGGGTGAGGCGGGCTAGAGATGAGGAAGCAGCATGAGGAAGCACACAGCCAGCCCCAGCAGATGAGGCACACACTGAGATAGCCTAGCAGGCAGCAGGGGGTAGACACCTGGTGGGCGTGGGGTGGGGGGGAGTGAAGGAGAAGTGAGGCACGTTACAGTTGCACTCAGCAAGAGGGTGGGAAGAATGTGAGTGCAGGAATGCAGGAATGTGAGTGCAGGAATGCAGGAATGTGAGTGCAGGAATGTGAGTGCAGGAATGTGAGTGCAGGAATGTGAGTGCAGGAATGTGAGTGCAGGAATGTGAGTGCAGGAATGTGAGTGCAGGAATGTGAGTGCAGGAATGTGAGTGCAGGAATGTGAGACAGACAGGCGCATTGGTGGCGGAGTAAGGAGCCAAGCAAGCACACTGCATCGCATCACATCAGGCCTTCTGATGCTCAATCACACTGGATCAAACCACCCCCACCGTTCTGAACCGCATCTCACCCCGTCAAGGTCGCCCAGCAGCCAGAGGTCGAGGAAGGAGCAGTCCAGCTTAGAGGCAATGGCAGGCCGCACTGCACATAGACGGATGGCCAGGAAAGGGGGAAAGGAAAACAGAACAAAAGGAAAGAAAACGTTAAGGATGCTCGAGGCAACACAAAGAAAGATTCAGCTGGGAGAGGTGATGACTGGCTGGGCGCACTACCACACAACGGGCCAGGAAGAATGGGGGAGAGAGAATGGGAAAGGACTTTTGAGACGTCTCAAAAGAATGGGGGAGAGAGAATGGGAAAGGGGTGGGAGGGGGGGCTGGGAGAAGAATGACACGGCAGGCAGAGAAGCAGCGGCTCGATAATGGGTGAGTGGGCAGAGAAGCAGCGGCTCGATAATGGGTGAGCTGCCGTAGGGCTGACAGGTGTAGCTCGTGCGAAGTGGAGTAACAGAAGAACAAAAACAACTTCCAAAACCACTAAGTACCGTGTTTCACAAAGAAGGCATGGTCGTGGAAGAAGCGGAAGAGGTGCAGCTCGTGGGAGGCGGAGTTATGGTCAGACGAACAGAATTGAATTTTGAGTCAACTCAAAAGTCAGACGAACAGAAACAAACCTAGAAAAAACTCCCAAGTACCGTGTTTCACAAAGAAGGCATGGTCGTGGAAGAAGAGGAAGAGGTGCAGCTCATGCGAGCCGAAGCTCTTGCCCCTCCACTACTGCTTACCGTGTTTCACAAAAAAGGCGTTGTCATGGAAGAAGAGGAAGAGGTGCAGCTCGTGCGACCCAAAGCGCTGCAGCTTGTCCACTCTGCCGCCAGCTGCCATGCCCGGCCACTGCAGCAGGAACGCCAGCTGTTGCCACGTGTCGCGCTCTGACGGGCTGATGAAGCTGGCCAATAGGCCGTGAGCTCGCTCGATAGAGTCGAATATCTGAGAGGATTAGATGCAGAGGGGAAGCGGAGGGAGGAGCGGTGGAGTGCGGTGAGGTGCGGTGAGAACTGGTGCTGGGTGGAATGGGGAACATGGAGAAGAGGAAAGGAGTGGAGGAAGCAAGGATGACATTCCATAGGAGGAGCAGCAAGAGCTGTGGTGAATGCCATCATTGCATGAGCAACAAGAGTAACAACCACCACCAATGACTCACCGCCACCTGTGCCATTGCCACGTCAGCAATGCGGTGCACCTCTCCCCTCCTCCACACCTCCACCGCCCTCCTCTCATGGTAATGCTTAGCTGGATCCAATGCCTCCTGCACCACCCACTCCCTCCCCTTCTCCTCCCTCCCCTTCTCCTCCCTCCCCTTCTCCCCCTCACTCCTCTCCTCCTCCCCCCAGGCCTCCTCCGGAACGAGCAAATCACAGCGCGCCACCTGGCACCCCCATGCGCTCTCCCCCGAATCCACAGCCACGACAGTCAATGACAGGCTGCCACGTGGCAGGGAGGATCTCGGCACCGCAACCCACCCATCCATCCCCCCCTCATCGCCCCCCCCTCCACCCTCCACTCTCTTCTCCCCTCCCACCGGCCTCAGATTAGCAATAAGAATGGGAGTCGGTGCAAAGAGCGGGGCATGTTTGAGAGGAGGGCCGGCCTGGAACGAGGAGGCGAAGCCGCAAGCAGCACCAACACCCCCACCACGATACCTCATCCCCCTTCCCCCTGCCGGGCCTGCGAAACACATGGCGGCTTGTGGTGCAGCAAAACCCATGGCCATGGATGCGCATTCCTGCCCCACCATCATATCCTTGTCAATCTGATTGCGCTGCAGCATCACTCCCATCAGCTGCTTCTTCTTTGCAGCGGGGTCAGAGTGGAGCTGGCGTGGAGGGGGAGGGGCGCGCTTGGTGGTGGTGGCAGCGGTGACACGCGGGTGGATGAGCAGGGACGGCAGGGGCAGCAGATGCCCCACACGCTCTGCTGCTCCGCTGCTGCCGGTGAGGGCCTTCTGGCGGTTCTGTACATAGCTGGAGGAAACGGAAGGGGATTGCATGGAAAGGGATGCGCAGGGAGAGGAAAGGAGGGGTGGGTGACACGCGGGTGGAGGAGAGGGGGCGGCAGCGGGAGCAGGTGCCTCACCCGCTCTGTGGCTCTGGTGGTGGTCCTTACCTTGTGGCAATGCTTCTAGACACAGGTGGGAATGAGGGGAGACGAGGGCAAGAAAAGAGGAGGGCAAGAAAAGAGGAGGGGCACATTCCCATTCACCACCCTTATTCACACTCGCATTCACTTCCCCCGTTACACTCACATGATCTCTTCATCCATGAGCTGCTTCTCGCCATACTCACTCTCCACCTCCTCCAACCCCACCCTCCCTTCCTCCCCTCCTTCCCCTCCCCACCCGCCTCCCCTCCACACTCCCTCCACCCCCCCCTCCTCCTCCCCGCCTCCCCCCCCAAACACACTCAACTCAAACCCTGGCACAGCCTTGGCCACCATGCCTTGCCGCACCACCACATGCACTCTCGTGCGCGCCCCACACCCCCCAAGCTTCACCCACAGAACCTTCCTCCCATCCCTTCCGCCTGCAACCCCTCCTCTGCCTCCTCCTCCCCCGCCCGGCACCACCCCACTCCCACCAACAGCAGCAGCACAGATGGTGAGTGGGCTCTTCGGCGGCAACTTTCGGAGCTCTCTGCGCGCCGAGTCAACCGCCCAGCCGGGGCAGGGGAGAGAGGAAAGGGTGGATGCAGGAATGGGGTGTGCGGAGGAGGATGGGGGGGGGTGTGCGGAGGAGGAAGGGGGAGGAGGCAGGACGCGGATGAAGATGGTCTCGTTGTCCCATGGGAGGAAGAGGGAGTAGTCCCCTGGCGGCACTGTCAGTAGCTCCAGATAGCCCTGCTTGAGGGGGCAGGGCGGAAAGAAAGCAAGGGGGAACGGGAAGGACGTTGATGGAAACGGATAGGTCGTCCCATGGGAGGAAGAGGGAGTAGTCCCCTGGCGGCACTGTCAGTAGCTCCAGATAGCCCTGCTTGAGGGGGCAGGGCGGAAAGAAAGCAAGGGGGAACGGGAAGGACGTTGATGGAAACGGATAGGTCGTCCCATGGGAGGAAGAGGGAGTAGTTCCCTGGCGGCACTGTCAGTAGCTCCAGATAGCCCTGCTTGAGGGGGCAGGACGAGCAGCGATAGATGGCGGAAGGTGGAGGTAGGGCGGGGAGAAAGCAAGGGGGAACGGGAAGGACGTTGATAGAAACTGTAAGGTTGTTACATGGGAGGAAGAGGGAGTAGTCCCCTGGTGGCACTGTGAGCAACTCCAGATAGCCTTGTTTGAGGGGGGGACGAGCAGCGAGAGATGGGAGGTAGACAAAGGAGAAAATGATTGGAGAAGGGTCGAAAAACGTAAGACACGAAAGAAGAATGCGAAAGGAGGCTTGGATTGGAATAGGAGAGAGAGCTGGGACGGTGGAAAGAGCAGCACCCTCTCTCGCTCACCACTCTGTGTCTGTCCGGGTCTCACCTCCATCATCCTCAGTTGCTGCGTGCAGTCCGCCAGGAACACTTTCTCAACTGCGAACACCAATGCAGCAGATTGCTGAGGCGCCTCACACCACATCACCATCCATTCACCCCCTCTCCCTCACCCATCTTTCTGTGCAGATTTCTGTGCGTCTCTCTCTGTGTCTCACCTCCTTCATCTGCAGTTGCTGCGTGCAGTCTGCCAGGAACACTTTCTCGACAGAGTATTCCGATGCAGCAGCCACACGGAACAGACACGGGGACACTGATGCGGCCGCAGCAGCTTCAGATGTTCCAGCCGCAGCAGCAGCAGAGCCAACATCATCACCACCACCGCCCACAGCAGCAGCATCAGCAGCAGCATGGGAGACATAAGGCAGTCGCAGAATCACTTTATCCGAGCCTGTTGCTGCACCATCACCAGCAGCACCGCCAGCAGCAGCAGCACCGGCAGCAGCAGCATCACCGGCAGCAGCAGCATCACCTGCCCTCTCCTCCCCGCCCACCACCACCACGTGAGACGGCAGCTTCCCTGCTGGACTCCCACCCACACTGCCACGTGGACCAATCAGAGCAAGCCGTGGTGCATGCACATGCCACACGTGTTCCCACTCCTCCTTCACCCCCCCCATCCACTCCTCCCCTTCCTCTTCCCCATCCCCTTCCCCACCCCTCCACTCTCCCCATTTCCCCAGGCCCGCCCTATCGCCTCTAGCTCCCCCTCCACCTTGTTCCTTCCCCTTCCCCTCTCCCTCCCACTCCCCCACCCGCCTCGCCCCAACCCTCTCCACCCCTTCCAACCACCCCAAATACACGCACCCTTCATCGTCGCTTCTCATCACGACACCTGGCGACCATTCATTGGCCAGCCGGTGCTGCAACCGCACCACCACCTGCCTCCCGCCCTTCCCCTCCCCCGCTTCCCCCACCACGCGCAACACATAACCCCCCATGCCCCCCTTCCCTGCTCCTCCCCCTTTCCCTTCCCCCATCCCTTCCTCCCCCCCACCCCGTATTTCCAAAAACAAAGACTCCACTTCGACTGGCCTCTGCTTTTTCCCCCCATCCCCCCCCTCCACTCCCCCTACTTCCCCCAGGATCATCCCCCCTCCGCCCCCTGCCCCTCCCCCTGCCCCACTCCCCTCCCACGCGCTCCCATTCGCTGCCGCCCTTCCCCCAGGCTCAAATGGCGCCAGCACCTTCCAGGAAGCTTCTGCACTCAGTGCCTTCTCCTGCCCGCCCTTGCTCTGCAGCACCACTGTTCCCCGGAGGGCCACTTCCAGACAAACTGCGCCGTCCGGCACTTTTGTCCTGTGCGTTAACTCCGAATCCGGCCGGAGGGAAAGGTTGGGAATGCGAACGGTCACATCCTGGCCTTCCAGAAGCTTCCAGGAAATTACGAGCTCAGGGGAGCGCAGGAGAGAGAGGGGGGCGGCTGGGACAGAGGAGGAGCAGTGCCAGTGAGAGGGGGAGAGAGTGAGGGAGGGGCGGAGGAGGATGGTGACGTCAGCAGAGGGGCGGAGGAAGGGCTGATCGAGCCAGGCATGCAAGTTGAGGTTGTAACTGGGGGAGGTGGGGAAGGGGAGTAAAGTGCAGGAGGAAAGGGGGAAAGTTGACAAAGAAAACGATAGAAGTAAGAGAACCATTTAATTCCTCTTGGATCGCCCATTTCTTCCCACTGTTCTGCAGGCACTTGTGTGAATGCATAATGCACCCACAGCAGCCAGGCAGTTGTCAAAGAGCACAGGAGAGAGCCCGGCCCAAAAGAATACCCGCTAACAGCAGTAACACGCACACCACCTCCCCCTCTCCCTCCACTCACCTTTCTTCTGGGACTTGCACGGATGCACCCACGGCAGCCAGGCACCCGTCAAAGAGCACAGGAGAGCACTCCCTGCTGCTGGCGGTGAATGGCAGCAACACCTCTCCACCGCTCCCCACCGCATACTCCACACCCTCCACCCACACACTCGCCGCCCGCCCCCCCAACACTCCCTGCTGGAGGCTCGTGCCAGCTACCAGACTCAGCTCTCCCCCAACCGAGCCTTGGTCCGGACCTCCACCCGAGGCTGTAGCCGAGCCTCCATCCGAGCCTCCAGTTGCAGTGGTGGGCAGCACGAGAGCTCCATCTTCGTTGAGCATTCGGATGGAGAGTCCGCGAGGGGTGAGGGTTGCTGTGTGGCTGATTGGGGCCGGGAAGAGGTTGTTAAAAGGGGCGTGAAAGAATGTGAAAGGGTGTGAAGAGGGGTGTTAAGGCATCAACTGAGAGCACGAGAGCACTGCCTTCATTGGGTATGCGGATGGATAGAACGCGAGCGGTGAGGGTGGACGTGATAGGCAGGCCAGGCGCACTTTGAGGCGCCAAATTTGCGGGTTAAGAGACGACTTTCGAGGTGCCTCAGAATCGCCCCTTTCCACTGATAGCCCAGGCGCACACTCGGGTAAGCTTTGGACTCCAACGCTCACACAACAGATACGAAATAAGGATTGCCGGATACGACTTTTAGCATTCTCAAGATTGACTCAGATCGGTCTGAGTTGGCAGCTCTGTGGGACAAGGATCGCAACATAAACGACACAAGGCTGAAAACACCGTTGAGGCGCCTCAGACGACATGCAAGACACAAGGCTGGTAACATGCGCATAGGCATTCCTCGTATGCATGCATGACACGTGTCACTTGTTAACGTCCACTCACACTAGATTGCCCTTTCGAATAATCGCCCGCGCGCACAGCCCGCCTCCCTCCAGCTGCACTACAAACACGCCCCGCCGCCCGGCCAGCTGTGGCAGATCCACACTCAGGATTCGCCTTATGAGGGAGAAGGGGCGGGAAGGGGAGGCGGAGGAGGAGGAGGAGGTGGTGGTGGTAGTAGTGGTGGTGTTGGGGAGGTGAGTTTGTGGTTCCTGTTCCTGCTGCTGCAGATGAATCTCTTGCTGATACCTGTTACAACAAAGAGAAACAAAAAGGGGGAAAAACGATGGCGAGAATACAAATCAGGAAAACGATGGCGAGAATACAAATCAGGAAAACCTTGAGAGAGTGTGCAGGTCGGAAGGAAGAGAAGATAGACATTAGATGGGAGGGTGTAGGGCTTCAACATCTAGACAGTGTAGGGCTTCAACATCTAGACAGTCTAGGTGGGCCCCAATTAGGTGCCATGACTTTACGTGGCAGCAACTATGTTTTATAGGTAAAAAATGTGTGTAAAAGGTGCTTGCTTGTAGACCTTGTGAAGAAAAGTTTGATGGTAACCGGTTTCGGCATATAGCCTACTTGACAGTCTAGGGCTTCATTCAACATCTAGACAGTCTAGGGCTTCAACATCTAGAAGGTTATAAAACAAAGTCTGACATTCTGAAACTGATGGTTCCAAAATTGAAACAAGAAAAGAAAGATGGAAGGAAAGAAAACAAGAATCAAACAAGCATACCATGGTTTGAGGCCGTGCAGTGAATCAATCAAGCATACCATGGTTTGAGGCCGTGCAGTGAAACAATCAAGCATACCATGGTTTGAGGCCGTGCAGTGAATCAATCAAGCATACCATGGTTTGAGGCCGTGCAGTGAACCCAGGTTGGAGAATTCGGTGTCACGAGGCGAGGAGAGCAGATAGCGCAGAGAGTCCACCTCGAATAGCTTCACCTGCAGCGCAGAGGGAGGAGGGGGGAGGAGAGCGTTGAAGGGGGACTTTAGAGCAGTGACAAAAAGGAAGAGGCTGATTAGAACGTCAAAGGAGAGGAGAGCAGATAGCGCAGCGAGTTCACCTCGAACAGCTTGACCTGGACGGAGGGAGGGGGCATTGACAGGCGAGATTCAAAGATTTGACAGAAAAAGGGAAAAGTGTATACGAGTGTCACAGGGGAGGAGAGCTGGTACCGCAGTGATTGCACGTCTGCACGTCGAATAGGTTCACCTGAAGGGAGAGAGGGGGAGGGAGAGGGTGCACTGAGGGGAACTTCAGAGTACTGCCAAAAGAAAGGGGTTTGACTACACCAGAGCGTGAAACGGAGGAGAGCAATAGTGCAGTGGGTGAGCTTCACCTGGCAGGGAGATGTAAGAGACGAAAAGGGGGAGAGGGATGGGGAAGAAGGGCTGTCAGAGAGTCAGGGAAACAAAGAGATTAAATGATGAGACGGATTGAGTGAGGTGTGACGCTCAAACAGGGACTACACATTGAGTGAGGAGTGAGTGGGACTACACATTGAGTGAGGAGTGAGTGGGACTACGGGGCACAGCATACCTTATGTTGCAGTATGTACGCAAGACCAACAAACACTGCGCTCCTTGCTTACAAGCTCCACCTTATATGCTCCTCAAAGCAGTACAGCTTACAGCGAGTACAGGCACGTTCTTCACAATCACGTCCAGATGCACCGAATCCGCCGCCCGCCACACCCGCCGGTTGTGGGCGGCAAAGTCCAGCTGGCAGCGCCCCGTCAGCTCGGCCAATGCGCTGCTGCCAGCTGTCGGGTTGTCAGGCGCGTGCTGGCGCTGATAGGACGTGAGATAGAGGTGTACCCAGCTGCGAGGGGGGGTTGGAGAGGGAGGGGAGGAGTTACTGGCAAGCAAGGGAAAATGGGGTTGACAGGGCGTGAGGTGAAGGGGTGCTCAGCTGTGAGGGGAAGGGGGAGAGAGGAGGGTCGAAGAGACTCACACGGGGTAGTAGGGGTCGTCCGCGCAGCACAGTATGCTCTCAGCCAAGAGCAGATAAAAGGGGGCATTCCCACGGGACACGAATAGAAATCATCGGACAGAGACGTGAGGGAAGCATGGCGAGACGAGAGACTCACACAGGGTAGAAGGGGTCGTCTGCGCAGCACAGCCGGCTCTCAGCCAATAGCAGCGCCACGTAGCTCCAGTCCAGCTTGCCCTGCCCAATCAAAGGCTGCCACGTGTGCATGGCCCTCTCCACCAGCGCCACTGCCTCCGGCGAATCCGGTGCAAACGGGAACTGAGCTGACGCCGCCGCTGACGCTGATGCTGCTTCTGCTGACGTGGCAGGAGTCGAATGGAACATAGAGCGAGAGGTAATACTCGTAGGAAGACCGAAATGGGAGGCAGAGGAGGAGGCGGAGGGAGGGGAGGTGAGGGAGGAGGAGAAGGAGGGCGAGGAGAAGAGGTTTCGGAAGAGCTGGGCTACGAGCTCCTTGACATCGGATGGCGAGGGGCAGGAGGCAAAGAGCGGCAAGTAGGCGAACGCCTCCTCCTCGTGTGGCCTGGTGGGGTTGGGGTGGGGTTTGTGCAACGAGGTTGGTGTTTCAACCCTTCCTCGAACAGAGCAGGCAGGCAGGCAAGAGCTTGAAGCAACGAAAAGGGCCAAGCCAGCTCAGCTATCAGCCTACTGTGCTGGAGGGAAGCCGCTGCAAGGACCGTTGCGGATGAGTGAGAGAAAGGCGTGGAGGACGGAGAAATGGGGAAAAGAAGATTCTGAACGAACTCAACCTACCTTGCAGGCGGAAATACACCTAAGGACCGTTGTGGATGAGGGAGAGGAAGGCGACGAGGAGGGGTAGGAAGAAGGGAGGGAAAAGGAGCTGCAAAGCTCATTTGAACCTGTCTTGCACGAGGGAAGACACTGTAAGGGCCATTGTGGATGACTTTGCTTTTGAGTCGACTCAAAAGTGAACCTGTCTTGCACGAGGGAAGACACTGTAAGGGCCATTGTGGATGACTTTGCTTTTGAGTCGACTCAAAAGTGAACCTGTCTTGCACGAGGGAAGACACTGTAAGGGCCATTGTGGATGATCGAAAGGAAGGCGTAGAGGACGGAGGAAGGTGAGGGGGGGGAAGAGGAGGTGCTGCTCTGGTTTAGCGTACCTTGCAGGGGGGAAGACGCCGTAAGGGCCGTTGTGGATGAGGGAGAGGAAGGCGAGGAGGAGGGCAGCGTCCGCCTGGCCGTTCACAAGGCTGAGTGTGAGGCGCGCAAACAGCAGCTTCGCCTTCAGGTGGTCGCTGGTAAGGAGCGGTTGGATGCGGTCCAGGTAGCTGGTGGGCATGGGAATGGGAGGAAGGGAGGGTGAATTTCTCTGCCTGGCCGTGCGCGGGGCTGAGCGTGAGTCGCGCAAACAGCAGCTTCGCCCTCAGGTGATCACCGGTTAGCAGTGGTTGTATGCGGTCCAGGTAGCTGGTGGTGGGTGAGGAGGAAGGGGAAGAGGGTGTGATGGGAAGAAGGGACGTTTTTTCGCTGATCCAGATGGCTGGTGGGTGGAAGCAAGGGGATGAAAGGCGCAGAAAAGGAATTGAGTGAAAGTGAGGCGAGCACAGAGGGGCAGCACAGAGGTAGAGGCTGCAAGGTAGTTAACCTCTGTATTGAGGGGCATGGCTGCTTTAATTATCTCAAAACGTCTCAAAAGACAAATCAGCACGGTGAAACGAACTTGAATAATAATGCTGATAGGTAGGCAATAGTAAGAGCACTCGTGACAATCAACAAACCTCAAGATCTGATCAACGCTTTCTGGGGTTGGTGCGGAGGTGCACTGAGACATGCCACGTGGCAGCATCTGAATGGCTCGCAGCGCCAGCATGCGCGGATGTGTGGCGATGGACGGGAAGCGGGCGGCAAGAGACTGTAGCTGCGGGGGAGTGAGGATCTGCAGAATTGGGAGGCTGGAAGGGGAGGGGTGAAACATCAGGAAATGAGGGGAGAGGGAAGAGGAGGGATTGGGGTGGGGGGGAGGAGAAATGAGCAGGGGGAGGATGAGGGGAAACATGAGGTGGAAGGGGGCAAGGAGAAGCGGGTAGAGAAGGAAGAGAGAGAAAATACGGGTGGGAAGGGCGATTTGGGAGAATAGAGATAGGAAGAGGGCAGAGCAGGGGGAGTGGGTGCTACAGAGGAGGATATGTGGACTAGGGAAATTATTGGATGAGAAGCAAAATAAGAGACATTTCTAAGGGGAAAACAAAAAAAAAAACAAACAAAGAAACAAACACCGACACAGTTGAAACGCCCCGTGGCAAGGTATCTCAGAAGGCAATGCCCCGTGGCAAGGTATCTCAGAAGGCAATGCCCCGTGGCAAGGTATCTCAGAAGGCAATGCCCCGTGGCAAGGTATCTCAGAAGGCAATGCCCCGTGGCAAGGTATCTCAGAAGGCAATGCCCCGTGGCAAGGTATCTCAGAAGGCAATGCCCCGTGGCAAGGTATCTCAGAAGGCAATGCCCCGTGGCAAGGTATCTCAGAAGGCAATGCCCCGTGGCAAGGTATCTCAGAAGGCAATGCCCCGTGGCAAGGTATCTCAGAAGGCAATGCCCCGTGGCAAGGTATCTCAGAAGGCAATGCCCCGTGGCAAGGTATCTCAGAAGGCAATGCCCCGTGGCAAGGTATCTCAGAAGGCAATGCCCCGTGGCAAGGTATCTCAGAAGGCAATGCCCCGTGGCAAGGTATCTCAGAAGGCAATGCCCCGTGGCAAGGTATCTCAGAAGGCAATGCCCCGTGGCAAGGTATCTCAGAAGGCAATGCCCCGTGGCAAGGTATCTCAGAAGGCAATGCCCCGTGGCAAGGTATCTCAGAAGGCAATGCCCCGTGGCAAGGTATCTCAGAAGGCAATGCCCCGTGGCAAGGTATCTCAGAAGGCAATGCCCCGTGGCAAGGTATCTCAGAAGGCAATGCCCCGTGGCAAGGTATCTCAGAAGGCAATGCCCCGTGGCAAGGTATCTCAGAAGGCAATGCCCCGTGGCAAGGTATCTCAGAAGGCAATGCCCCGTGGCAAGGTATCTCAGAAGGCAATGCCCCGTGGCAAGGTATCTCAGAAGGCAATGCCCCGTGGCAAGGTATCTCAGAAGGCAATGCCCCGTGGCAAGGTATCTCAGAAGGCAATGCCCCGTGGCAAGGTATCTCAGAAGGCAATGCCCCGTGGCAAGGTATCTCAGAAGGCAATGCCCCGTGGCAAGGTATCTCAGAAGGCAATGCCCCGTGGCAAGGTATCTCAGAAGGCAATGCCCCGTGGCAAGGTATCTCAGAAGGCAATGCCCCGTGGCAAGGTATCTCAGAAGGCAATGCCCCGTGGCAAGGTATCTCAGAAGGCAATGCCCCGTGGCAAGGTATCTCAGAAGGCAATGCCCGTGGCAAGGTATCTCAGAAGGCAATGCCCCGTGGCAAGGTATCTCAGAAGGCAATGCCCCGTGGCAAGGTATCTCAGAAGGCAATGCCCCGTGGCAAGGTATCTCAGAAGGCAATGCCCCGTGGCAAGGTATCTCAGAAGGCAATGCCCCGTGGCAAGGTATCTCAGAAGGCAATGCCCCGTGGCAAGGTATCTCAGAAGGCAATGCCCCGTGGCAAGGTATCTCAGAAGGCAATGCCCCGTGGCAAGGTATCTCAGAAGGCAATGCCCCGTGGCAAGGTATCTCAGAAGGCAATGCCCCGTGGCAAGGTATCTCAGAAGGCAATGCCCCGTGGCAAGGTATCTCAGAAGGCAATGCCCCGTGGCAAGGTATCTCAGAAGGCAATGCCCCGTGGCAAGGTATCTCAGAAGGCAATGCCCCGTGGCAAGGTATCTCAGAAGGCAATGCCCCGTGGCAAGGTATCTCAGAAGGCAATGCCCCGTGGCAAGGTATCTCAGAAGGCAATGCCCCGTGGCAAGGTATCTCAGAAGGCAATGCCCCGTGGCAAGGTATCTCAGAAGGCAATGCCCCGTGGCAAGGTATCTCAGAAGGCAATGCCCCGTGGCAAGGTATCTCAGAAGGCAATGCCCCGTGGCAAGGTATCTCAGAAGGCAATGCCCCGTGGCAAGGTATCTCAGAAGGCAATGCCCCGTGGCAAGGTATCTCAGAAGGCAATGCCCCGTGGCAAGGTATCTCAGAAGGCAATGCCCCGTGGCAAGGTATCTCAGAAGGCAATGCCCCGTGGCAAGGTATCTCAGAAGGCAATGCCCCGTGGCAAGGCAAGGTATCTCAGAAGGCAATGCCCCGTGGCAAGGTATCTCAGAAGGCAATGCCCCGTGGCAAGGTATCTCAGAAGGCAATGCCCCGTGAGTTGAGTTGGTGGGGCCTACCTGAGTCGGCTGAAGGCATCCGGCTCATCGCGCTCCAGCCGCTGCAGCTCCCATGCCACGGCGTCCTCTAAGCGGGGCATCGAGGGGCGATGCACATGCTGGGAGATGGAAGAGGGGATGGGAGAGAGGGGTGGGGGAGGGGAGGGGGGGTGCGGATGCATCGCTTCAGTGCAGCTCCCATGCCACGGCGTCCTCCAGTCGGGGCAGCGATGGGCGCCGCACATGCTGGGGGGGAGGGGAGAGGGAGACGGAAAAAGGCAGACGGGAGAGGAAAGTCGGCGGCTCATTGACCTCCCATCGCTGCAGCTCCCATGCCATGGCGCCCTCTAGTCGGGGCAGCGAGGGGCAACGCACATGCAGGGCGGAGAGAGGAAGCAGGGTAAAGAGAGGGGGGGGGGGGGAGACAGGGGAAATCAAGGAGCACAGGCTTGGCCGTCTCTCATCGCTGCAGCTCCCATTCCATGCGGGGCAGCGAGGGGCGCCGCACTTGTTGGGGAGAGTGAGGGAGAGAGAGGACCGTTTGAGAGAGGAAGCAGGGTCGGGGACAGGAAACGGAGGAAGCAGGGTCGGGGACAGGAAACGGAGGAAGCAGGGTCGGGGACAGGAAACGGAGGAAGCAGGGTCGGGGACAGGAAACGGAGGAAGCAGGGTCGGGGACAGGAAACGGAGGAAGCAGGGTCGGGGACAGGAAACGGAGGAAGCAGGGTCGGGGACAGGAAACGGAGGAAGCAGGGTCGGGGACAGGAAACGGAGGAAGCAGGGTCGGGGACAGGAAACGGAGGAAGCAGGGTCGGGGACAGGAAACGGAGGAAGCAGGGTCGGGGACAGGAAACGGAGGAAGCAGGGTCGGGGACAGGAAACGGAGGAAGCAGGGTCGGGGACAGGAAACGGAGGAAGCAGGGTCGGGGACAGGAAACGGAGGAAGCAGGGTCGGGGACAGGAAACGGAGGAAGCAGGGTCGGGGACAGGAAACGGAGGAAGCAGGGTCGGGGACAGGAAACGGAGGAAGCAGGGTCGGGGACAGGAAACGGAGGAAGCAGGGTCGGGGACAGGAAACGGAGGAAGCAGGGTCGGGGACAGGAAACGGAGGAAGCAGGGTCGGGGACAGGAAACGGAGGAAGCAGGGTCGGGGACAGGAAACGGAGGAAGCAGGGTCGGGGACAGGAAACGGAGGAAGCAGGGTCGGGGACAGGAAACGGAGGAAGCAGGGTCGGGGACAGGAAACGGAGGAAGCAGGGTCGGGGACAGGAAACGGAGGAAGCAGGGTCGGGGACAGGAAACGGAGGAAGCAGGGTCGGGGACAGGAAACGGAGGAAGCAGGGTCGGGGACAGGAAACGGAGGAAGCAGGGTCGGGGACAGGAAACGGAGGAAGCAGGGTCGGGGACAGGAAACGGAGGAAGGCAGGGTCGGGGACAGGAAACGGAGGAAGCAGGGTCGGGGACAGGAAACGGAGGAAGCAGGGTCGGGGACAGGAAACGGAGGAAGCAGGGTCGGGGACAGGAAACGGAGGAAGCAGGGTCGGGGACAGGAAACGGAGGAAGCAGGGTCGGGGACAGGAAACGGAGGAAGCAGGGTCGGGGACAGGAAACGGAGGAAGCGAGAGGAGGTCAGGTTTGGTCTTCTCCCATCGCTGCATCTTCCATGCCAGGGGGTCCTCTAGCCGGAAGATGGGGGGATGGAAGAGGGGAGAGAGCACAAGGAGGGGAGAGAGCACAAGGAGGGGGATTACGGAGGCATGGTTGCAGCTGCTATGCATGCAGTGAGGTGACTTTTGAGTCGACTCAAAAGGCAGCTGCTATGAATGCAGTGCAGCCATGATGGGGGAGAGAGGCGTCTCCTATGCCGGGTCATGATGGGCGCCGCACCTGTTGGGTAAGAGCAAAAGGGGAGGAAAGTGGTGGGGGAGGAAGGGAGAGCGAGGGTACAAGAGGGGAAGAGAAGGGAGGGGCAGGGCGAGCACATGCTGTGCTGACGTGGACAGGCGGGAGTCAAAGCTGTCAATGCAAGCAAGGGAGGGGAGAGGGAACAAGTCGAGTGGCCTCATCCCATCTTCCCCTCCATCCCCCTTTATCCTCTTCCTCTCAATTCTTACAATCCCTCACCCCCCCTCTCCACTCCCCCTTCCCCCTCCCCTCCCCTCTCTCACCATCAGCAGCTGCTGCACTGACTTCTTGTCACTCGGTTCTTGCAGCCAAAACGGAACCTTCTGCATACCTTCTCCCCTCCTCCAGCCTCCCCCCTTCCCCTTTATCCACCCAACCGCTCCCCCCACCCACCCCGCAGCTTCCCCCACCAGCGCCCCCACCCCAACCCCCCGCCCAGACGCTCCCCCAAACCCTCCCCCCGACCCTCCCCCCTGCCCCTCCGCCTCCCCCTTTGCCAGCAGGCGCGCCAGCACTGGCGCAAGCCCCCCCTCCTTGAGCCCCTGCCACCCATGCCGCTGCCACGTCAGCTCCAGAAGAGACAAATGGTCAGCGAACTCGGGCGGCAGAGTGGAGGGGAATGAGGAGAGGGCGGATGTCCCACTGGCACCAGAATCACCTGAAACACCACCTGAACCGCCTCCTGCAGCAATTGCTGTTGCCACACCAGCTGTTTCAGTCCCCGCTGCAGCTGTGGCGGGTGCTACAGCTGGCGCTACAGCCGCCACTGCCCCCTCCGCATCCTCTATTGTCACATCAAAAGCCGGCACTATAGCGGGGGCAGCAGGCTCTGCGGCGATGCTAGCAGGAAGGGCGGTGTTGAGCGTCACATTCAGCTCCTGATTGGTCGCCAGCCGGACGAGGGGTGGAGGGCGGGAGGGGGGTTGCGGAAGGGGGAGGAGAGAAGGGGGGCATTTGTGAAGGGTTGGGCGGGGGTAAGGGCGGAGGGAGGTGGCGGACAAGGGGGGAAGTGTGGGCGGAAAGGGAATGTAGCATGAGCGATGCGGGTGTGTGTGGGAAGAGATGGGGGAAGCCTTGAGATGGGGGAAGCCTTGAGATGGGGGAAGCCTTGAGCTGATTGAAAAATAGACACGTCAAACGTTAACAAAATCCAGCAAGAAAGGAAGAAAAAGGCAGAAAAAAACAACAAAAACAAGCAAACAGACAACAAACAACAATAGTCCATCACCATTCACCATAATTATGTCAACGCCGCAAGTTACCTTATAAAAATACGTCAAACCAGTAGTACCATTCCAGTATGTCAACACAGCGACGAACCTTTTAAACAAATTTCAGCGCAGCAATACCTTCTTTATGATGTCAACGCACGAGTCGCGCTCTCCAGAGTCCCAGAGGGCCACAGCGAGCCGCAGCTCGAGCTCCTGAATAAGACGAACGAGGCCGCCCGGCCCGAGAAACGCGGCGTCCGCCGTCACGCTCGAGAGCTTCGGCGGCGCGTCGCGCGATTTGAACGCCGACTTGCGCGGAGGCGCGGGGGAGGAGGAAGAGGGGTCCCCGGACGCGGGCTTGAGACCCGCGGCTTCGCGGAGAGTGGCGATAAGGGCGCGCGCCTCCGCAGTGTCCCCCGCCTCGATGGCTTGCAGCGCTGTCGGAGAAAGCACGAAACGGGGGAGGCCGAGGGGATGGGGAGGGGCAGCGGGAAGGGGACGGCGGAGGAGGGCGGGAGCGAAAGTATGATTACGCACGAGGAAACGCGGAGTAGGTATGTGAACGGGGGTGCGGAGACAAAAGGGAATAAATGGAACGAGGGAGGAGCGAGCAATAATCGTCGCATAAGGGACGGCAGGGACTGTACCGCTGAAAAAGAGGCGCAAGAACCTTCCGGGAACGAGCGACGAGACAACCGCGGCACGGTCGGGCGAGAACGCGAACCGCTCGAGGGTCTCGAGCCACTGATGCTTCGCCACGTGCGACTCCATTGTCGACCGACGCTCGCGAAACGAGTGTAACAACTACAGTATCGAGCACGGGAATAAGGTTACGATTTCTCAACACATTAAACGGTTCTATCAGAAACCTAGCAAACAGCGGAACCCAGACTACGCGACGATGAGCATATTCAAGATCCTACTCCCTGGCTTGAATAACTAGCAAATAACACATTCAACAGAATTTGTACTAGCTGCCGAATGTTCTCCATTCATTGTTCCGTTTGTACGATGCAGAGAGGTTTCGTCGCTACAATGCGCGATGCAGAGAACCACAGTGCGGTAATCTCACATTTTCTGCACGTGTCAGGAATCTGCATGTATTCACTTTCCCCCCCCCCCCCCCCCCCCCAGCAGCTCCGGAGCTAACAGAAACTTAGAGACGAAATTCGGGTTACCAACTCATGGGACTGGCAGAGCCCGTGGAGGAGACGACAATTCTCGACAATAATTTCGTCGAGCTCGCATCTGACTATGGAGGATATTTGTGGCGGGGCGGAGAGTGGGAGGCTGACTGGCAGACCAGATAGTCTGGCGGAAATACAACCGTAGCGCGCATGCGGGGAGGTTGCGTGTGGCATGACGTGGAGGAGGTGCGGTGCACTTACTGAACAGGTGTTGTAACGAGGACACATTTTCGTGTAGACCACGCATGACCCAATGAATGGCACACATTATAAGGTACCTGCATTGCAATATAAGAAAGCTTACAGTTATTTGAATCCTGACTTTCACCTTTAGCTGCTTGAGCTGAAACATAAATTTAGAGAATGGACATTGACATTTCAAGCCGCCAGCGCCTCGGCACAAGGATCCACGTCAGCTGCGCCACGCGCGCCGTCATCCATGCCCGCTTGGTTTCAGCAGCGAAAGGGGCGGGTGGGTGGGTCTGGAGGGGGACAGGTTGTCACAAATGTTCCTCTTTTTGAACCACGTGGCAACTCAACAAGCAGCATTCGCGATGCACATTTCAGTTACCGACGCCTTTGCGAAGGAGCTGTTGTGCTTTTGCAAAGCCCTGGCCCCTCAGCCGTCCCCTACCCCTGATTTCAGTTTTCGGTACTTCCTAGTGCCACTCAATCGCACAGAGACAAGAACACCACCAAGATTCCATCCCGAACAACAATGATGCGGAATCCTTGCCCAACCCGAATCAAGCAGAAGTATTTATTGCTTTGAAATACGCCCTCCAAAAACTTCCCAATGCATTTCAGTGTCAGCAGAAATGAGCTTCGTTGCCGGTGAGCCTGCCAGTCCCGCAGTGAAAATCGAGTTGCGCCGCCAGCTTGATGCCTTTCGCGCTAAGTATATAACACTGACGACTCTCTCATTTACCAGCATCGACTCTTAGCGACACAACTTTCCTTTCCACCACCAAACAGCGAGTCCTAATATAAATCTTTCGCCGTTAAGCCTCAATCTAAGTATCAACACAAGCTGAGCCTTGTTCCTTCGTTCTCTTAAAAAGCTAGAATGACATCGTCCTTGATCGCGCGCGTTAGCCTGCTACTCTCACTACTTGCATTCGCTGTTCTTCACTCCAACGCCGTTCGCCTTATCCCCTCGCAAGAAAACGCCCTACTTTCCTTGAAAACCGCATGGCGTGACTGTCCGATAATCAATACGTGGGTAGCCGGCGCCGACTGCTCTGAATGGTACGGCGTCGGGTGCGACAAACGCGGAATGGTTACCGGTCTATACATCTCCAGCTACCTCGCAATGGGAGTAGCATGCACCGGCGAGTTGACGGAATCCGTTGGGAAGCTGACGGAGCTGACGTCGCTCGGTGTGTCCGGCATTTGGCGCATCTCTGGCAGCCTGCCCAAGAGCCTCGCGAAATTGAAGAAGCTCGAGTCGATCGCGATCGACTACAACAGACATGGCGTCCTCTCCGGTAACCTCCCAGATTATATCATCAATTTCATCCGCCTGACGGAGCTCGTGCTCCAGGGAACGGGGCTCACAGGTAGCATCCCACGCGGGATCTCGCAACTCAGTCGCCTCACGCGCCTCGACCTCCAATGGAACCGTCTCAGTGGCGAAATCCCTCGGGAACTGTCAGCGCTGGCGGCTCTCAAGACACTTGAATTGAGCGGGAATCGGCTGACGGGATCGATTCCACCGACCCTCGGCTACCTCACGGGTATGACGAGCCTGCGACTTGGGAGTAACAAACTCTCGGGCGCACTTCCCGCAAATGTTATACTCTCTATGCAGAGCCTCGAAGAGCTGAATATTCAGAGTAATCGTTTCACTCAGCAAGCAGCTTCGTCTATCGCCGAACTCGCGAGCCATCCATCTTTGACAAACATTGACCTCAGTTGGAACACTCTTTCGGGCAGTGTGCCGTCCCAGCTCGGGCAGATGAAAAAACTGGAGTACCTGTACCTGACTGGGAATAAGCTGAAGGGATCCGTGCCCGCGGCTGTAATACAAAACATGCCGAAGCTGTACGACTTGGACCTTTCGTATAACAAGCTAAACGGAGAATTCCCCTGGGCAGCTTTTAAAACCGCGCCAGCGTTAGAGTTCGTGCGGCTCCAGCGCAACGCGTTCGTGGGCGCGATTCCTGCAGATGCGTTTAAGAAAAGCCACGTGGCACATTTCAACATCTCCTTCAATCTCTTCTCGGGGCCCATGCCGAATTTCTGGTTCATGGGCGGGGAGGAGGAGCCGCCGGTAGACGTGCGCGGGAACTATTTCTGGGGCAGCCCGGAGTTTACAATGTATAATTACAAGGTCTGCCCGGAGGAGGGGCAGGAGGATCCCGACTCAGGCGACGACGAGTATCTCGCGGCGCTGAACTGTCTCGGTAAGAGCGTCACGTGTAACATGAAACAGCAGCGGAGTGCGTCAGCGTGCAGACTGTTTTGCGGGACGAGTAAGAAGAATGGTCCGTGCTCGGGCCACGGCGTGTGCGTTCCGGCAGGTGGAGGGCAGTTCAAGTGCAGGTGTGCGAGTGGGTACAAATCGGTGCAGGGAAAGCCGCACGAGTGCGTCAAGGCATGAAGCTTTCAGATACGTGGACTGGTAGTAGTATTTCAGGGGCCGTGTTGTGTGCTTGCGCGTGATTTAGTTAGGTTGTGAAGCGGGTTCAGATGTGGTTCGGGGAGCATACGATTGTCCAGCGCATGTATGTCAATAAAACAGATGCTTCTCTAGAAGATTAAAAATAATAACAGCGTGCAAGTGGCACCAGCTCAAAGGAGTTCGCTGTGCTCACCAGGAATCGAGGAATAATCCGCGTTTCGCCAGGGGCACAGCTTTTGCAGAATCCGAGACTGGCGTGGGGCGAGTTCCCTGCAACGCGTGATGCTTCACCTCCTTCAAAACGTCCTAGAAGTCGAAAGTGCACATAGATGTTACCGTCGGACAATACGCCTCCCAGCTGTTGAGGCATCGAAACTTGCTATGAGAAAGCGAGAAATGCTCGAGAACCCATCCCTTGTTTATATGGACTGAACACCCCCTAAACGCGGAATTGCTATGCGATGGGACGGGGAAACCTCGCTGTTTATGTACGTAGTGTGTGGATGGGGCTCGTGGTTGGGCCGACTAGTGGAAGAGCTTGCTGGCACTGTCGGCGCCTTGTATGCGGTGTGGCGCGTGAGGTGCACTTGATCACAAGGCAGCGATGATTTGCGAAGTGATAGGAGATAGAGGAACCGCTGTCGAAACGGGTCGCGGGACACGCTGAAACTTTCGCAAACACACGCCGAAGTGAAAGGATGAAGGCTGGCTCGGCGCCATTATTGGAGGGTCAGACAATTATTGCAGGCTCGTCGGGGTCAACGACGTCGGGGCATTGCGCGCCGCCGGAAGGCACGGTAGCTGGATATAACGCAACCCAAGAAATGTAGACAGCGTAGTAAGTAGCCTACACCGTGTAATGCAAATTCGTACAGTATGGCCTAAGATGTTTGTATTTGCTCTGTGGTGCGAACCCTTATCCAGTCCCTCAGCCAGGTAACAACCTGCGTGACAATGAAAAACACGATTGAAAGAGGGGGAAAACATGTGTTCATTCATACGAAATACAGAGTGAGATAAAGCCTGCCTACAACTTCCTAGAAATTTTACCCACTTGCCAAGCCACCACCCAAGACAGCTATCAAGTCCTGAAGTCAGCACATTCAGTTCACCTGGTCCACGGACAGTCTGTGCTTGGGGTTGGAGGCAAGGCACAGCACTGCCAGCATCCGCCTGCCCAAATGAAATGACAATGCACCTGCGAGCACATGGTCATACATATCTCACCTAATCCATTGTCGGTCTATGCTTGGGGTTGGAGGCGAGGCAGAGCACAACCAGCATGGACACCGCCTGCAGCTGTGCGGGGTCAAAGCGGCCTTCCAGGCGGTAATCTATGAGGCGAGTGAACTCCTCATTGTTGGCAATGGGGATGGCCTGCAGTGGTGATGGGGAAGGGGATGGGCACGAATGGGGCATGAAGAGGTGTCCAGGCGAGTGAACTACTCATTGTTGGCGATGGGGATGGCCTGCAGACACACATGGGAGTGACGGCAATGAAGGGCATTGAGCACTCAATGCATTGTGATTGCCAGGTCAGCACAAGCCCCCATCGTAGTCCACGAGAAGTGGATTTCTTGATGTTGGCGATGAGGATGGCCTGATGGCACACCATTGGGATGAAGGGCGCGGAGGGCATTACGATTCACAGATGTGGGGTCCTGGGTTGCCTATGGATTGTGAGAGAGAGGCCCTTTAGGCGGTAGCCCACGAGGCGGGTGAATTCCTCGTTGTTGGCGATGAGGATGGCCTGCAGGCGAGAGGAGCGGATGGAAGCATCGAGCATTAATTGGACTGCCATTGACAAGCGTTGAGCATTTATTGGACTGCGATTGACAAGAATGTCCTCTTGGGTCGCCTTAGAAGGGGCACTTGTCCGTAATTTACGAGACAAGTGGCATACTAGTTGCTGGCAATGGGGATGGCCTGCATGTGGGGACGGGGATGAAACGCGTTGATTG